TACTGGGCTCAGGGCACCACAGGGAGGGAGGCCCCGAGGCAGCGGGGCTGTGTGGCTAAGGCCTCTCGGGTGGGCAGGTCACCCCCGGGTCAGGTGTGGGATGGACGGAGGATGGAGGGTACCTCTCTCACCCGCCCCCACCAGGGCAGGAAGGGGGGCTGCGAGCCCTGCTCCTGGGGCGAGCGCTCACCTCCCTTGTTGGCGAGGCCCAGCCACTGCTGCTCCCTGTACGTCAGCGCGGTGATCCAGCGGGCCCGGTCACTCCTGGGGACAGAGAACATGGGCCCGGTCACTCCTGGGACAGAGCGTGGGCCCGGTCACTCCTGGGGACAGAGAACATGGGCCCGGTCACTCCTGGGACAGAGCGTGGGCCCGGTCACTCCTGGGGACAGAGAACATGGGCCCGGTCACTCCTGGGACAGAGCGTGAGCAGGGCCCGAGGTGGATGCTGCCAGCCTGGTGGCATTGGCTTCAAGCCCCCACCCCCGTTGGCACAGAGAAGATGGGGTCACGCGGCCTCCCGAGGGGTCTGAGCGCCGCCCCACGCCCTGGAGGTGGGACAGGCAGTGGAGACTAGGCTGCCTCACACCCTCCCACGAGCCTGGTCAGGAGCCAGGAGCTGTGAGCGGGCTTCCCCCTGGGCCTCCCCACCCCACCACCCCACCACCCGGGGGCCAAAGTCTGGGAGGTCCCAGGGCGTGGGAAGCAGCGCAGGCAGGCTGAGCCCGAGCCACACCGGCCTGGGTCCGAGCCAGGGGCAGCGGCCCCTCAGCGTCCGGGCCGCCCACCTCCTGCGCGCGGCTCTGCGACCCGGGCCTCTTGTCAGTTGCTGTTTGACAGGAGCCTCAGCTTCCTGCCCGGGAAGGGGAGTGAGCGCGGAAGGTCTGCTGGACTCCCTCAGTGTACTGAGTCCCTGCCCTGCTGTCCTCCGGCTGCTCCGTGCCATGGCCTCCTGCCCCAGGGCCTTTGCACGGCTGCGCCTCTGCTGGAGCCCTGAGCCTTGCTCCCCTCGGAGCCCTGTGCACGAGGCTTCCTCCCTAGCCCCGCCCCCTGCTCCCTCTCCTGCCTGTTTGTCTCCTGTTTGTCTCACCCCTCACCCCTCAGCTGCTCGTCTTGTGGCTGGGGCGCCCCCTCCCGGGAATGTGAGCTCTGTGAGGACAAGGCTGTCCCTGCACCTGGTGTGGTGCCCACACAGAGTGGCGGTCAGGGATGTGGGTGGCAGGAATCCTATCCTCGTGGGTCACGCAGAGCCCCCTCCCCCAGGGAGCCCTCCCGGACGTACGCGGAATCAGAGGAGAGCAGGATCCGCTCCTGGCGGCCCTCGCTGTTGTGCAGCAGGGTCACCTGGAAGAGGTGCGGCACAGACGAGCTGCGGTTGACGCCGCCTGGCAGGGGCAGCTCCGTGGCCTCCACCTTCTGGACCTGGAGGTGGTCCACGTGGGCGTAGTCCTGGACCACGAAGCTGTCTTCGCTGTGGGAGGAGGC